AGCGAGACTCACTGACGATGCCGGCGAAACGTCTGGGAATGTACCAAGTCCAAGGTCCTACTCTGGAAATTATGATGCATACAATTGACTCCGGACTAGGTGCGTTCCTCGAAGTTGCGAAAACAAGGTCAAACAACTTCTATGATTTCCATTTTTCTCCTAATCTCGAGAGGTTGCATAAATTATTACGGCTGCATAAAACGGGCCGAATTGCTTATGAGTAGGACCAATTAAATAGGTGATATGATTTTCGCTATAAGTAGGTTTCAAAACTAACAATAATTTTTGTATAAGAAATAAGCCTACTTGGGTCGTTTACGATGAGTTGCGATGACTTTTCCCGCAAAATAAGATGAGCAGGTCTCAGAAAGTCACTGAATTCCACACAATCTTGCTTCCCAAGCTGAAATATAATGGCATCGTGAGCCCTACTCGTTCCATTTTGTGGGAAAAACGCTATCCGTCCTTAAATCACCCCAACTGACCTAGGCTAAGCAAATTCGTATTTAAGTACTTATATTGGCGAGTGTGTATGTGATTGGATCTGCATGCGTGTGAATCAAGGTAGGAAACACCAGTCATACCTCAAAGTAATTACAATAAAGACTGACATGAATCCTGGGTCAGCAAGGTTTAATGACCTGAGAGAAGCATGACTGGGAGCATCAAATCAATGATGAGGTATAAGTCTATGCGCTAGTAAATCAGGCTACGGGACCACCAGTCATAAATAACCAGTCCAGGGTCATTAAAGTTTAATAACTAGGCTTGCTAAAAAATAGTTACAAAACTAAGATTGGAATGTTGAAATTAATGTTTACCGGGTGCAGAGGAATGCTATTAGCAACGATTTGGCTTAGAGGTAACTTGAGCTGCCTATAAAAGGATATAATACATACACGTCCGACAATTCGCGTCAAATGGGATGTCAAAAGGAAACGGAGCCTGCTTTCACCCCAACCGAGAGGGGAGGCGCTGCTGACTGCGCCAACATGGACGCACAGTCAGACGAAGCGAGGAGAAAACGACGAGAATCAATCATAGCCTGCCAACCCTTCACCAGACGGGCTTTGGTACGAAGTCGATTCAATTTGGCCTCGAGGTTCAGCGATCCTGGAGGCGATCTGGTTCGAAACTGGTACGCCCGGACGGGTGCGATGTGAGCACAACCAGTCGAGCAGAGGCGTCATTGGAATTCGAGTAAAAGTCGACCAGAAATTCTGTCTTCCAGCGAATCCAATGCAAAAGTGGGTCAACGGAGCGTAAAACAGCGACATCCCCAAACAGAAGAAGATGGTTCCGCTTAGCTGCCCATCCAAAAGTACGCCGGAGCCAGCGTTAATTGTCAGCCCTTCACGCAACTACAGCCTCGGGCACA